ATTGTTGTACAACTGTCCAGTGTCCAAAGAACATGAATAACAAATTTCTTGTCAAGTACTCAAATTGACAGAACATCACTTTAAGAACAACAACAACACGACTACCAAATGTGTGCAACCCGTTCCTGATTCTAAAATACCTTTCTTCATTCTACCTCACTGACAGAATGATAATTAACAAAGGAACTACTTTAGTAAGCAGCTACCTGAAATAACCAGATGCTGGGCCTGATTAAACATCGACAAATATCCCTTTACAAATGGGTTACAAGGATGATAACCTGAAAAATACCCTATTTTAACCGGCTATACATGCATGGTGTATTGTCTCAATTCTAATTGCATCAATTAACACTTGAGGAATATTGGGCCATATCCATCAATGAATATTCATGAAAAGTACTCTACTTTAAATCTGATTCTTATAGGCCTATATTAAATACAATTAATAAAATAACAATAATGCCTCTTTAAAGAGAACTAGATTTTCCACTCTCTTCAGTGGTGTAATACTTAAAGATGGGTTCCCAGAAAAGTATTTATCGGGTGGCATAGGCGTACGGGGAAATTTTTGACTGGGGGGGGGCCCAAAAAATGTAGTTAGGTTCTTAGTATGTTACATAATAATAATAAATTCGCTGTTAAATTGGACACATTCAAGAACACAATATCTTTTTTTATACAACTTTTACAAAATACAATTGTGTGCCCAAATTTTCCCAGCATTTGGTGCCCAAAATGGGGGGGCGGCCGCCCCCCCCAGCTCGTACGCCTATGTCGGGTGGTTATTTCCAATAAAAGTATGGTAATTTTGGTATAGATGTAAAGTAGAGATATCCAATCTTACTAGAAAAATACTGGATTCCCCGAATAACACTCATGGAGTGTATACAGACAAAAATGTAAGGTTCGCCCAAATTTTCCCAGCATTTGGTGCCCAAAATGGGGGGGCGGCTGCCCCCCCAGCTCCCCCAGCTTGTACGCCTATGTCGGGTGGTTATTTCCAATAAAAGTATGGTAATTTTGGTATATATGTAAAGTAGAGATATCCAATCTTACTAGAAAAATACTGGATTCCCCGAATAACACTCATGGAGTGTATACAGACAAAAATGTAAGGTTCGCCTAATCAACAGCCCATTGATTAGGAATTTCTGCACGCGTGATGTGAAAGGTCACATGTGAACATTGAGCGCTTGATGTACAAGTTGATAAACTTTATGAAGAATTAGACGTACAACACTTTTCTGAGATAAAAATGACGGAAAAAGATGCAGGTAGTGGATAATCCGAGAATTTAATTAGGATTCGATATTTGTAAAAATAGTAAGCGATTAAAAACAACACCGTCTTATGTATGCAATGAATTCTCCTTTGACTTCTAAGAGAGGTAAGTCACGTGACGTAAACATGACCTGGTTTGATCGAATTTTTATAGCAGGACATTCCTTCGCAATTACAATGTTTGAGAAGGATTTGAAGCAAAATTATGACAAATTAATTAGTTTGAATATGTTTTTAGTCCATATATCCATTAAATCACCCAGTTTGTTAGCGGGAACCCATCTTTAAACATCTGATTGATTTTTTATGTAGAAATTACATCTTTTATTATCAACATTCATATATTCAATAAATCAATAATTTCCTTTTTTATTAAATAAAATTGGAATCTATAAGTGGTGGGTAGCTGTCTTAGATTTCTCTCACGAAGCTACTAGTTTAATTCTTATGCAAACTCATCAGATTTAAAGTGTGATTGTGCGTCTGTTCCATTTATATCATCTTCGAAGAACGGAGCACAGTGGAAGTCTCAGGTGAACCAGAGCAGTCTGTAATTATGTGTAAACAGAAAGTCGGCTCAACAACTACCCTCATCAAAATGCTCATATTCGTAGACTCTAAACTCTCAACCGTATTGACTGTATTGTTTATAACAAGTACACATATATATGGGAACTATTTGGACTAATTTATTAAACATACATTATGCAAGAGCTAAATCTGCCTATTGAATTGCAGGTCTTTCTTTAGGCCTGAAATGTTATCTAATAGTAAGTGCAGGAGGACCTCACTACACGTAACATAAAATCTACAAGATAAACCTGCCGACAAGACAGAAAATAGACATTGCACCAAATAAACAGATATCAAATCAAGTGAATGGATCTTGGGGCCAGCCGTAAGCGTTCACTGCGCTGTACAGTCCCGGGCCTGTAGTGACAGAATTCACTCAAATTTGAAAACAATCAAGACGTAACCGAAATAATGTATTAATTAGACATTAATTAACTTATCCAGGCCATAATCAACTCTCGATGGCATAAGATTTCTCTGATATTAAATAGATTAGAACAGTTCAGCCATATTCTGATTTAAGCTAAAAATAGAGGAGTGAGACTTAGCTTCGAACAACCAGTACGGTGGTTGAAATAATTGCACACGTCTTGTCAAACCTTCAAAGGCTAATATCTTCGCTCGCAATAGAGTAATTTGAATGAAATTTTTAAATTATTCATTTTACATTATCTATTTCTGAACTATTATAGCAAGAATGGCTAGCTCTTTATCTAAATCTTATATAATGTATCTTTAATATCAGAAATCGGCGTGGGCTGGCCACCACTAACATAAATTGGAACTTGTCTGGACATTCATTCTAAGTCTATAATTAATCACACTTTTTTATTAAAGTAAAGTAATTAAAGGATTTATATAACATTGTAGACTGGCCATCAGCCTTTGGCAATACCATCTATTACATTAACATCTCAAAGGTGTCACTTACTCATGTGAACTGCTGATTCAAACAAGTGAATTAAGCCTATTTTCCTTAGTAACGATTTGGAATAGTAACAGAGGCGTGCCTTCTGTCAGTAATACACAATCAACAAAGCAAAATTGTAATCTGATCAGGATGATAAATCCCACCTAAGCATACTATACGCCAAGGACTGTACAAACATTCCTGTATCGCTCAATGGTGCTACAGCAGGGGTGCTATTTCAAAATTTTGCTCGTCGGCTATTTTTAGTTGGGGTTAATAGAGGCCAGAATAGGTCTCATCTATGTACACGAAAGTAGCATACCGATATTCCAATGACTATGGTATAAATATTGGCATAAATATCCTAAATGACTTTAGGACTTTAGGGACAAACCGAAATTAACTGAGTAGTCCCGATTTGGTCTTCCTCCAGATGGACCACTATGGCTTTTTGGCCTTTTAAGTTGGCAAAGTTAGCTGACAGTTGGTTTGCAAATGATACAAATGTAGAAGTAAATTTACAAATAATAACCAGCGACTCATGAGAGTGGGATCTATACATAATAAATTTATCACTACAACCATTTTTCCAGCTTCCTCTTTTAATCATGTTAATCCTAGAAAAGATAGGCCTACTACTACCCTGCCTGACTCCGGTACATGAAGAGGTATCTCTCTATATACCAGCTACAGCATAAATTCAGCAAAGAACTGTGAAATTTTTCTAAAGGAAGAAATTGAGATATACAGGTACATGTATTTCAGTGACTAAAACTAGTTAAATTTAAATGTGAGTGGAGGCTTTAGGCACCTGTCATCCTACATGTAGTCCCAAGCAAATATCTGAAGCATCGACATTTGGAATACTCGCTACTCAGTAACCAATTGTCAACTGGGGTAAGGGGATGAGCTTTTTGACTAAAAATCGCCTCATGTCTGGATACACCTGTCTGTGAAGATATGGACGTCTTTAGAGACAATGAATATTGATAATTTTGTTAATTAATCAATTTCCAAAACACATATACAATTAAGTATATATAAACCTACCTGACATCAGCGCAAATGATCTCAGGGAAGATGTTTCTAGGCAGCCATTATCATTTCAAGTAGTAAAGCACTCGATCACATCTAGAAGGCAGAGCTAAATCACCTGTTGATTTACAACAGCCAATCAAACTGCGCGATTCAGACGTTATGAAGAGCCATGGCCGGTCATGCGAGTACAAAATCAACGCTTGACTTACTTTTAAACAACAATATTTGCGGTTGTGTGCAAGTTCTTCCATTACTACATTGAACGGGGTCTGTTCAATAATCTAATCTATTAAACACAACATGCATTGCCCTTGATAAATGAAATGGTTTTGCAAGGTACCGGGTATGTGAGCTAAACATTTAAAGTAGCATTGATTTATAATATTAAAAATAACCATGTCTGTCTACGTCTTTGCATTCAGTTGAAAAACATGCTACATTATGGTCATACAATCTTTTCAAATCTGCACATTTTTCAAATAAAATGTTTGAATCATATATGTTTTTATGGTAAGCGACGTTAAAATTAAGAAGTAACAAAGTGTCCATCAGTTATTAAGACTATCACAAGTACCAGTTCATATACATAACAGTCTTCAACAATTGAAAGACTGATTAATGATGACAGCTTATTCCGGCTTATTGGCATTGCAACTTGAAAGGTCTCAAAAAAATAGCTAAAAATTAAATACACATTGAAGAAAATCTTAATGTTTTATTATTATGGTTGACAATACGCGCCCCCCCCCCCCTTCCCAATGCTTTTATTTGTGCTTGATCTAGCCCTTAATCGTATTGGGGTTTTTAATTAAGAATTCATATTGTTTTATTATATTGATTATTGTCATTATTGAATGTACAACTGTCAACTGTGTGCGCATATCCATACATGGCCTAACGCCCTAACCCTCCCTCTGCCAAACATCTGTTAAAATCCAGCAGTGGGACGCAGCGTGCGGGCAACATTTCGGTCCAGGTATGGCCGTCATGCATGTTATTATTCATGTCCTGGCCCATGGTCATTATTCATGTCCTGGCCCATGGTCATGACTGAGAGTGAGACTGAGATTTCCTCAGGCTCCTGACACGAACTTTGTCATGTGGAATATTAGTCAATGTTTATTTTGTGCAAAACTATTCTACACCTGTTCTTTTTAAAATTCAGTTTACCATATCAAACAAATAATTACTTTACCCGAATGTTCCCCAGCAACAGCCGAAGGACCAGAGGGGGAAGACGACGCGAAACGACGAAATACGACGCTCAACTTCGAAGCCATTTTACTTGAAGGTGACTTCAGATTTTCTATGTATTCCGTATCGATTCAATGTATGAAACGAAATATGTGCATTACGTCACGAATTTTACCAAATCTACTATTAAGTAGGTCGTTATGTACGTAATATATATTTCCATATCAAAAATATCTTTAAGGCTAAGATATTTTATGACTATAAGGAAATTTCTTTTCTATTTAAAAATATTATTCTTTTCGGAAATAAATTACAGGTCAAATATGAATTTTCCATAGAAAAAACTCGAACGAGAAACGGCGAAGATAATCCAAAAATTGCCAAAAATAATAAATGAAAGCAGACTGGTTGGACACAGTCAGATGTTCCTCCGCCTGTAGTGTGGAACAATGAGTCCAACATAAATTTAGATAAAAGTTATAGCCGGGCAAATTCACAAGATTTAGTAATTTCTTTTAGTGGGCTGCATCCATTTTTAAGCTCGAGTTATCGGCCTTCTAATGAATTACGCATGTGCAATATGTTAACTTCCCCTTCGTGCAATCTGAAGCGTGGGACAGCAATGCTTTCGCTTACCGGCATCGCTTTAAGCTGTTTAAAGCAAAAATTATCAAAGCAAGGAACACTGTTTTGTATACTATGCATAGCATCATTAATTGGTCAAACTTTTGGAGCCGCTGAAGTGGTATGGGCGGTCAACTGTGGAGGACAAGCGCACACCGACGTACACGGCATCCGTTACCAGGCTGACTCGCTGCAAATTGGTTACGCTTCGGATTACGGTAAAAGCCTTACGATCCAAAGAGTTGTACCGCAAGATCAAATACTTTATCAAACCGAGCGATATCATCGATCAACATTTGGTTATGATATACCAGTGACAAAAGATGGTGATTATGTTTTAGTGCTGAAATTCAGTGAAGTCTGGTTTACTTCTTCCTCACAGAAGGTGGGTGTGTCCTTCCCTGTCACACATCGGATGTCACGGAAGTTTTATTGAGTTCTACTTTATTGTGCCATGAAATTGATGAAATATATTTATCACCTTCGCTTCCATATATGTTATAAGATTTCATATGCAATTCCACATTTCAACTGTCCCAATATGACATGAGCTCAAGGCAATGAAGATGGCCATAAATTAAGTACGGTAGTTAAGTTAATACTATAATAGTTATATTTATGCCCTGGGCAAATTTCTTTCTTCTGAATTTGGTTGTCACATTTAAATGTTTGTAGGCCTACATACATGTATGTACATATAGATTAGGAAGGTTGATCGCCCCATTGAATGTACATTGTACTATCAGAGGTAACCTTACAGAATTTTAAGTTACAGCTGTACTTGTTAACTTTGTCGAAGTTGTAATGTCGTCAACATAGCATTATGAATGCATAAAATATATAACCTTCAAATACATCAATTATTTTGAGACCTTATATTATAATGGAAAACATCCACATATTTTTAATGGAATTACTGTCTGTTCCAGGCGACACTACGACTCGAAAATTGCTTACTATTTCTTCAATTTTTAATTAAAATGGTTAAAACTTCACGACCTACCTTGAATTGTCACCCCATTACTTTCTTCGGCGAACCTTAACGCCTATAAATTCGATAAAATCCTTTATTCTCTTGTAAATTTCACATTTTTCGACACTAAATCAATTTCTCAGAACATAAACATTATCACTGCGCTTGCGTAAGTTGGGTCACTCGTATATCAGGTAGGGGTATAAGGTATTCCAAAAATCGGGTGCATTCGGTTAATAATATTTATGCGGGAGGATTCGCCCTTTTGTTTTGCGGCCATGCGAGGGGTGTTGGTGTGCGTAAGTGTGTGTGTGTGTTTAGATTTATTTGGTTACCGGTATTTTAATATTCCTTAGAGATATTCATAGTATTGCATGTCTCCTAAAATATTCCTCACAGAACACTTATTTTCAGCATTAGATGGCATGGTAACCTTTCTGATAAAGTGTAAATTTGTACGATATCTTATAATTTTATGGACTTAAAATAGTTTTGATTAACGGTATCTATTTTTATTTATATTCGCGTTCCAAAGGCACACAAGATTTGTTTCAGATATTGTCGTAGAACAGATAGAAAAAAATGAATCGTAGAAAATATAATTCCTTGAATAATGGATCATCCTTTCATCACATGCATTTGGAAGTTGACGATGCTGTGTGTATATAAGAAGGTGGATACTTTAATTTTAATTTCAACGAATGTAGCTTACAATGTTTGATAGGGTACATCACCACTTGAACCATATGTCTCAAGATAAGGCAGGATACCGGTATTATATACATGTACATGTAATCATGTATAGCTGTAGCTTTCGTGAATCACATTAGCATTTACTGAGCAAGAACTAATATATTTTCTTCAAAATAACGACTGATTAATGTTAGTAGTAGTATGTCAGTGTTTGGTAATATGTACAATGCCATGTAACTATGTCAAGTCAATTTAACTGATAAGATTTGCAGATTATATGAAATTGTGTTGCTAAGCAATGTTGGAGTGGGTATGTTTAATTAGTGATACTGATAGTATAAAATTATATTACTTTTAAGACGTTACAGGCATTGATAAACAAAATGTGTTTGCAAGGGGAAACTACATTGTTATTTTTCGTTCTGGCAAAATCTGAAGTGTACGACCTGATGGACTGGAACGCAAACCTATCCGATCAACGTCGATACAGGTCCTTCAAAATAAAACTGAAAAGAATCCATGAAGAAATGTGACCAGTAGAGTGAGTGTGAGTCGGAAATGTAACAATTTCGCTACTTTGGTGCCGTATTTTGTGAAAAAATTGATAGGGATCTTCATTGTATTGGATTAAATCTACAAAATAAAACCGAAAAGAATCCATGAATAGGCCTACAGTTGCCTGTAGAGTGAGGACAAGCATATTTTTCTATAATCAGAGCTGTTTCTTGGCTAAAGTATCAGAGCTTCACCAAAATTGAAAGTGATCCTCTTCACATTATTACATACCCTATAATCTGAAAATAATCTGTATACTGTATAGAATTTTATGCAGCTACATGTACATGTATACACACAATAAAAGTCAATACATGTAGATGAGCTAAACTAAATGGTCATCAGATGATGAGTGCCATATAAAATGCAGCTTTCTGTTAACAACCAATTTTTAATGCTATGCATTAAAGGGGATCTGTACATATGTTTAAGTGGTAAAAATCATAAAATGACCCATTAAATTCTTTAAAATATCTTGAAATATGAAATATTCTTCTTTACTATATACATGTATTATAATTTTTTCAAAATTTTAAACTTATAACACCTGTTACCTGTTGATGATGTTCTTATATTGATTTATTATATTGTTTGTTTTTAATCACACAATACTGTATTTTATCATTTATAATGGTTTAGATTACACTTTCTAAGTTGCTGTGTACATATTTCATTGATATTTTTAAGTTTGGAGCCATGGTGGCTAAATGAGTGACGCTGGCTCGCTAGTGTGAGAGTTGCAGGTTTGCTCCCGGTGTTGGCCGAGAAAGTTCATGATTTTCCGTAGTGTTTTCCTTTTGTCAGTGGTGCAGGAAGGAGGGTCTGAGTGTCTGACAAGGACAGCTGTCTAATCATTTGGAAGTGAAGAAAAGCTGAGGTCTTGTGTATACATTGGCTTGCACATAAACGATCTCTTGGCAGAGTTGTCCGGACACAATTTTCCTCATAGCACACTGAATTACTGTATTGCGTATCCCCATCTTCAATCTTCATATTAGCCCAGTTGGAGCTGAACAGTAGGACGTTAAACCTCATTTCATTTATTTTTAAGTCAAGCTCAATATCTGTTAATTCATCATTTATCAGGTTTTAAATCACACTTTTAAATTTTAAGATGGTGTGTACATTTTTCATTGATTATTCGTCCTTGATTTCGATTCCCTGGTTGTACGTGACAAGGAGTAGGGGGTGTCTGTCCATCCCCATGGGTTTTCTCTGCGTCCTCCGGTTTCCTCCCACCGCTGAAGCCCCCAACGTGCAAGCGAATTATTGAAATAAAATTGAACCATGTTTGTCCCGAAATAACCTGGTTTGTGTCAAGTGGATGTTGAACCCTATTTCTCTCTCTCCCTCTCTCTGTATCGCCCCCTGAATTGCCGGATTTAATTTGAAATTGTATTAGAGATAGGTGTTGTGTGATGATTGATGAATCGAGTTAGATTGGGTTACAATAACTACAGGTGATTTTCTATTATTATTGTTAGTTTATTGTTAGTGTCGTTGTTTTCTGTGAAGGTAACAGGTTGACAATACTATTGATGATTGTATCCTAACTTAAAGAATCAATATTTATTTGGCCCTGTCAGGTAACTTTCTATTCAATTCTTGTATGTCAACAAGAAAACCAATAAACATTACAGACAGTTCAATATTGTAAATTGATCTAAGAAAATTTAACATACGTATAATATTCCTAAAACAAAATTCCTGTTTTCTTTGGACCTATTTAAAAGAGGCATATTTAAAAAAAAAAAAAAAAATACTGTAATACTGGATATCTTTGATTTTGGAAAATTTTAGATTGGGATTATTTGGTGTTATTCTGTGGTGTAGTTGTTCGAATGGGTTGAGAAACCAGAGCTCCTGTGTAGCCTACTTATTGGCGTGCACCTAAAAAGAACCCTTGGCAGTTGAAATTTGAAGTAAGAGCGACCCGTGGCACTGCTGTCCGGGTAAAATTACTGTCATAGCACACTGCATGACATATGCCTGTCTTCATTTATGGCAGTATATTAGATTCAAAATTCTAACATGCTATCGTCTAATTTCTAACCTCCGTTCATGTAATTTCTAACCTTAATTCATGTAATTTCTAACTTCAATTCATGTAATTTCTAAATTAAGACAATGTATAATCCAACTTCTTTATTTGTTCAGTGTAAATTTTAATTCTATTTCATCTTATTTCTATTATTTAGACGAAAAACGTTTTCTTCATTGATGCTTTACACGTTTAGAATTTTTACACTTCTGCCTAGCAACCATCATTATGAAGTCGTTTGGTGTCGCCACTGCGTGCTCATTTGGTGATTGCGCACCTGGTAGGGACCATTATGTTTATATAAACGACTCGCTCTTCGCCTGCTTGGTGGTTGGGCGGAGTGCTGAGAGAGAGAGTGAGAAATAGAGAGGGGGGGTAACGACCACTCGGCACAAACTAGGTCATTTCTGGACTAACACATGGTTCAATTTATTTCAACAATTCGCTTGCGCGTAGGGGTCTTTAGCAGTGGGAGGACCCGGAGAAAACCCACGAGGTTCGACAGGCGACCCTACTCCTTGTCACGTACAACCAAGGAATCGATGGTGAAATTGAAAACAACATCGAACGTGAAATGGTTGGTAAATACTACTTCAAATAAAAGCCAAACAGCATTTTTTTTTTCAATTTTCTTGAAGACAGTTAAGCCATCAATAATATTTATTTACTGTTAATCTGTATTCTATTACTACTCTAACCAAAATGATAAACTTTTTCTTGATATGGTTCAAAGATATAAATTTAGAAACCTTCATACTGTAGGGATGAAACGGCCTTAAAAGGAGACTGGGATAATCTGTTCATGTGGAAAGCGATGAAGTTTTTATTTCTGGTTCCTTCATTACACCGACCTGACTAACTTTTAGTGCTCCTACGACTAGTCGGATAGCCGTAAACGGTTAGAACTGGACGGTTAAACGGTTCAAATTCAAAGGTACGGTTATTCGGAGATGTCCCCCATTACATAGAGTTGTGTCTGGTTATATTCCTCTTTATAACAAAACTTTCCCGTTGTCATTTTGTATTTGATGTTTGAAAATCTTAGAATGTAACAGTCGTCCTACGATGTCGACTGCTAAACAATGATACTATTAATAGCACTCGTCGTAGTCATACGGCAAAGTCAACGGACCTTGTTCTGGCTTTAGCTAATGTTAATCCAATCTAAATACTTCTCGGCATTTCTAACTATACTCTACCTTGTTTATTTTTTACTTAAAAACGTAACCACCATTCAAAATATAATCATAAAGGATAGAAAATGACATTATACTAGATTCGTTACTACGACATTCAACATGTTTCATATCTCGTAATTTCTCACAAGAATTCTACTTTGGTTTTTAGTTAAATTAACCAATCATAAAAATTCTACTTGCAAGCGAGGAATTAATTCTTTATTGTCCAATCAATAGACGTCTTCCAATTTACTTTATTCTATTCTTAGTAACATTGTGTAATCAGAATATTATCGCCATCTGTCACGTACGAAGGGAAACAGAGTAGTGCCTATTGTTTTGTATATTATCGTAGATATATATTGAATTAAAAAATGTTTTAAATGAACCAAGTTAACCAGGTAAATAAATAACTACGGCCTTAGATAGTTTAAATTTTCATTAAAGAATTCCTGAAATGTTTGCGCGTGTAATGCCTTTTACTTAGGCGAGTATAGCGTGCGCACGAGTAATGACTCGCACCTCCTGACAAGCTCTGTTTTATGTTTAAAATTGATACCATACGGTTAACGGTTACTAACTGGTAAATAGCTACGGCTATTCGAATAACAAAAAGTCCTAACCGTAGGAGCACTACTAACTTTATGGTAGTTTTTTTCCAAAAATATTTTATTCAAGTTGCATAAAGCAATATCGAAATTCATAGATAGTGGTTTATCGTCCTACTTTTCTACACCATCCAGGCTAATGAAGACGAACTTATGGTGTGCCATGTGTGAAATATAGCCCGGACAACGGCGCCACGGTCTACTTTTATTACGAATAACAGCTGCAACGGTTTTCGTCCGACCCAAACTACTAGACACTATATATGCCTACAACAACGACAACCTCCTCAAATCACAAGGATGGAACTAATAATGTCAGAAATATTTTAAAGCGTAGTTTTGCCAGTGTGTATACTAGCTGACGATGTTATATAACCCATAGACATATATTTTTTTTATGATATAACTACTAGACACTATATATGCCTACAACAACGACAACCTCCTCAAATCACAAGGATGGAACTAATAATGTCAGAAATATTTTAAAGCGTAGTTTTGCCAGTGTGTATACTAGCTGACGATGTTATATAACCCATAGACATATATTTTTTTTATGATATAACCGATATATTCCGGCGTGGTTATCCGTCCCTTGTTATTGATACAAAACGAGGGTCTGGCACGGAGAGTGGCTAGTCGTTCGGGTAGTATAAAGAGATATTTTTAGAGTATTAAAAGAATAATTTATAGATCAACAGTATATAAATAGTAATTGGCTTAACTGTAAAATAAAAATAAAATAAAATTCTCCAAATCCTGCACTTGTCTTTAAAAAAATTAACAAATGCTGTTTAGCTTATATTTAAAACAGTATTTGCAAACCATATCACGTTCGATGTTGTTTTCAATTTTTACACTCCGCCAAACCATTCAACCTGACGAAGAGCGAGTCATTTGTGGCAACATAATGATCCCGCTCAGTGCTCAATCCCCAAATTGAGCACACGGTGGCGACACCAAACGACGTTATAATGATGGTTGCTAGGTAGAGGTATCAAAATTCTAAATTTGCTCGACAATGAAGTAGACATTTTTCGTCTTAATAATAGAAATAAGACGACACAGAATTAAAATTTACACTGAACAAATAAAGAAGTTGGATTATACATTGTCTTAATTTAGAAATTACATGAATTGAAGTTAGAAATTACATGAATTAAGGTTAGAAATTACATGAATGGAGGTTAGAAATTAGACGATAGCATGTTAGAATTTTGAATCTAATATACCTCCATATTCATTAGGCCATAAGCGAATTGGTGCAGAAAAGTAGGATGCTAAACAAACCCCATTTTATTTCACTGTCAAGGGAATAATTTTCCCGCAATGTACACTGCATGGTCTATGCCCATCTTCATTAGCCTAGCGAAGGAGGGGGGCGGTGGATAGCCGAATAGTTAGTGTGTGCATGTTGTATCATAAGGTCTCATTGAGTCAACTGGCATTGTTAATATTCCCTGGTTGTACATTACAAGGAGTAGGGTCACCTGTCCAACCTCGTGAGTTTTTTCCGTGTCCTCCGGTTTCCTCCCACTGCTAAAGACCTGCGTGCAACTGAATTATTGAAATAAAATTGAACCATATGTTAGTCCCGAAATGACCTAGTTTGTGTCGAGTGGACGCTAAACTGCATTTCCAAACAACCCCAATATGAACTCGATTGTAAAATAATCCAGGTATTGATTGTACTGTTTACATGTATGTCTACAGCCTAGCACATATTGTATGTAGATATGTTATTCAGCATTTTAAACATACATTATGCAAGAGGTAAATTGGCCTATTGCAGGTCTTTCTTTAACCCCGAAATGTTATCTAAATTATTAATTAGACATTAATTAACTTAACCAGACCATAATCAACTCTCGATGTCATCGCTAGCCTGCGATGTTCATTGGATTAGGTTCGACTTCCATTCGTCATTTAATCATGAAATGGATAATCAAGACTATATTTTTTAAATGTACCGTCTTTAGTAATGATGATCGAGGCTAGGCCGAAAATTCAATTGCTAAAATCTCTGTTCAGAGTGGATCAATTTGACTGAAATTTTCAGCAAATTCCTTTCACATTATCTAGTTTTTAACTAGTATAGTGAGAACTGCCAGCTCTTTATCTAATCTCCCATAATGTATCTTTAATAAATAATATATATTTTTTTTTATATCTTCAGGTTTTTGATGTTATATTAAATGGAGAACATACAATAGTAAATGAACTTGATATATATGCTAAAGTTGGGCGTGGTGTTGCTCACGATGAAATCATTCCGTTCTCAATTAAAAATGGAAAATTAAGAGTTAATGGTGAAACATCTCAAATAGATGGAAAAATATCAGTAGAATTTTTAAAAGTAAGTTTATAATCAATGTTTTACATTGGTTGGTTAAAATCCGAGAGTGCTTTTCAAATACCAGTAATGTTTTTTAATTGAAATCCTACGATACTTGTCTTAAACAACAAAACCAACTTAATGAGCGTTGTTTACAAGACAAACTTAATGAGCATTGTTTAAACAACATACATGTATTGCATCATACATGATTCGAAAATAAGAAAAGACAGCTTTATTTAGGTCAATTATTGTTGATTGCTTGCCCTTGTTGCTTATTGTTTTTACTCTATGCACAATTGGAGACTCTGTAATAGCTTTCTGCATGGCTCACGCTGTCAGTCACCAGAATTTCAATTTGTTATAGAAATATGAAATTGGCTATTAAAATTTGATTTTGGCAAGAATGGTGTCCCTTACTATATAACCTATTTGCATATTAATCAGATATGATTCCATTACATTTTATGGAATAGTCATTGTATACAGAAACCCCCAACTACACAGAGCCGAGGTACCGGTAGCAGCAAGAGGTAACATCCCTCAGTTCTGAAACAAATGTGACAAACGCTCATTTCACATCATTTGTCTACTGATATTAACAAGTATTGTTTATTTTTCAGGGAGATTTGGATAATCCTAAAGTAAATGCTATATATGTTATTAAAGGAATAGTAGAAGGTAAGTTAAAGCCACTGATTGTCATTTGAGGAATTTTGAATCTGTTGCAAACTACCATATTAGGGAAGTTAAATCTCGAAAGGAAAATAGTTCAGGTCCATTCAATATTTGCAAAGATATGACAGATAACTAATTTCCCAACAATGGACAAAGCATGCCGACAATATAAACAAACCAGTGCCACCCATATGTGTTGGTTACAATCTTTTAAAGGCCTCTTCTCAAAATGATTGAATCCAATCAGGGTGATTATTTCCTGTTGATATTTTGGTTTTATTTTCGTAATTTAATTTTAAATGATTTATTTGAGTATATTCTAGAATAAGTTAAGCTGTTTAAATTTAGATTATATATCCAAAAAATGCATGATCGTGTTCAGTGACTTTAAAAGGATAGCAAATTTAAAGTGAAAAAAAAAAATGTTGATTTAACACTGTCAGTGCCAAGTCAAAACGGACTGATGATGTCCTAGGACATAGGTGTACTCGTATTCATTGTCACATGGGACTGTGGTGACTGAGCAGATATCATGTGCACTGACAGTTCCAAGCCAGATGTTGGCTGAGAAGAACCATAACAGGATTTTTCAAGCCTGGTTCTTACTGGTCAAAGGAGTAGGGTCGCCTGTCCAACCTCGTGGGTTTTCTCCGGGTCCTCCGGTTTCTCCCCACTGCTAAAGACCCCTACGCGCAAGCGAATTATTAAAATAAAATTAAAAACCATATGTTAGTCCTGAAATGACCTAGTTTGTGTCGAGTGGACGTTAAACCCCATTTCTCGCTCTCTCGCTCTCTTACTGGTCAGCGATGGCACCTATTTGGCTGGCAAAAAGGTGTGCCTATTCATTTGTATGGGACGATAAACCAACATCTATTTCTGTACTAAATAGGCGTTAACTTATAGGGGAATTATTAAAGAGCTAAATCTGCCTATTGGAGGTCTTTCTTAAATGTTATATAAATTATAAATTAGACATATATTAACTTGCCAAGACCATAATCAACTCTCATTGCCTTCGGTTGCTCTAGATTTTCAACAGATTTAATTAGGATTTGTGGTTAATGATTTAATTTAAAAATGGATAATCTAGATTTTGTTTATTATCATAACAATGGTAGCAACTCAGAATGAAGTCATTTTACTGAACTTTTCAACATATTCTCTTTTCATCATCTATTTTTATACGCCCACATTTTCATGTGGACGTATTATGCCGTCGCCCCTGTCCGTCCGTCCGTCCACAATTGTTTGTGGACTCTCTACAGGTCACAATTCTTATCCGATTTCGACAAAACTTGAAATATAGGTTTATCCCCAAAAGATCTCGGCTGCTTTCGATATTGGCATGTATCGGATCGAAACTTCATGGATTATGGCCCCTATTTGTACGAAAAATCACGTTTTTAGCTTGTGGATCCTATAGAGGTCACAATTTTGATCCGATTTTCTTGAAACTTGAAATGTAAGTTTATAACCCAAAGATCTCAGTTCCTTTCGATATTCGCGCATATCGGACAGTAACTTCCTGAATTATGGCCCCTGATTGTACGAAAAATCACGTTTTTAGCTTGTGGACCCTATAGACGTCATAATTTTTATCCGATTTAAAAAAACGTTCTTTTATATCACCGTTACACCCTAAGGATGACTGAGTTCGAATTTCATGAAAATCGGCCCAAAATTGACAGACAAAATGGCCGCCGTTCGTTCCCAAATAGCGTAAGAATATGGTATATCAAGGTTGTGGACCCTATAGGGGTCACAATTTTTATCCAATTTTGTTGAAACTTGAAATGTAAGTTTATAGCCCAAGTTTATAGCCCAATGAACAACGACCACAATGTTGTGTTTAACTGTTGCCTATTCTTAATGAACAACAACTACAATGTTGTATTGTATCTGTTATCTATTCCTAATGGATAACATTCACTATATTGTGTTTTATCTGTTTACAGATGTTCCAAAATTAGCACCATTACCAGGTGGGGACAATTTACGGGAAGAGACAGATGATGAAGAGGAGGAAGAAATAGATAATGCTAAACCATCCAAATCTCGACGACCATCGGGTCCTAAAGCTAAAGATCCCTACGCCACTGATGATACTAGTACAATGTTGTTACCAGTCTTTATGGCTATAGGTGCCTTTATTCCATTACTATTCTGTTTGTGTAAATTGTAGGATAAATGAATCTTGTTATTTATACTGGTTATCTAATTATTAGGCTGCTAAAAAATTATTCTTTGTTTCCAGACACAGGATTTAAAATAAATCGGAGATCTCTTTCCAGGAAGCAATAATCTCCATGACTTTTTGGGGTAAAAATTTCTTTAAAAATACCAAAGAGAAAATGATGAAATAATATACAGTATCAGTGATTTTACTGAAGTAGGTTGTAGCATTTTTTGGGGGGAAAAATAGAAAGGTTCTAATGGTATTCAGACCTAGAGCTCTTCAAATACTATTCCCCTGTAAATTTTTCTGACAACTCGATCCCAAGGACTATTCGTCCCCTAGGATTATTCGTCCCCAGATAATTCGTCCTCAGACAATTCGTCCCCGGATAATTAGTCCCCTAGGACTATTCGTCCCTGGATAATTTGTCCCCAAAGACAATTCGTCCCTGGACAATTTGTTCCCTAGATCTATTCGTCCCCTAGGTCTATTGGTCCCCTTATTATGATCAACAGCTAATTCTAAAGAAATTGAAGAAGTTGAAACTAACTGATGTCAGTTCTACATTGTTTTATCATACACAATAATGCATATTGATTATAAGTCAAGTGCAGTATTGACAATGGACAATACCCATAGTGAAGGGATAAATGGATTCTCTAACTCACAAAAGGTGTCACTGATCATAGCTGATTACTACATGCATATCAATTAGCCGAAAAAATTTCATGAACCATAAGTTAAAGCCTAGATTTACATGTAATTCTAAATGTAAAACTATGTAAAACTAGCATCAAAACTGGGATTTAGGATAAAAAGTAAAGATTAATTCAGTTTTTGATAATGGAACTACCAGTATTGTTGTTCAGGGACAAACTGTCCTAGGGGACAAATAGTCCGGGAACAAATTGTCCATGGGGACGAATAGCCATAGGGGGCGAATAGTCCCATGGGACTAATAGTCCTGATACGAATTGTACTCAGGGACGAATTGTCTGGGGCTGAGTTGTCTGGGAACGAATTGTCTGGCGACGAATTGTTCTTATAAAAGAAAAGGCTATAAAACATTTTAAGGTGTAGGTACAAATTTGCTCCAGATTCGGTCACAGTAAGATTAGGAGAATCATATATCACTCATGTTTTATTAATTGTCCATTTCATTGTTATGAAAGATGCTTACCAGTTTACAAGTTTTAAAATTTAATGTCATCAAATTAGATTCTGGAAGGAAGGGGGTGCAGGAGAAGAGACGGTCATTGAAATAAAAAAATAGAATTCCTTGTAGTTTGGAAACAAAGAATTCTTCGTTCTGCAGTCTAAACTAAACTTTTTTTTGTTTGCCATAATATTGACAATCTTGCATTAAAAAAGAACAGGCTTTTTAAATTAGTTTTTTTTTTTTTTATTGATGAATTTAAGAGGTGAAATATTTTAATCTTTGGTGTTTTAAATCATTGTCTTTGGTCAGATTTCTAAAATGATCTGTGGCCTATAGAGAAATGCCATACATGTATTAGTTGCACACAAATTTCCAGCATACTTGAACTAGGTTTTATTGTATTATTTAGATGAAGTTTTGGAAATCCCGTTTTATACATTAACTGCCATTTCTACATTTATTTTCATTTGTGTTTTCACCTGCACTTAATATCTGCATAAGCTTATAGATTATGATAATAAGATCTAAAATAGTTTTATTGTTTTTAATTGTTGAAAGCCAAAATTTTATAGAAGGAAATTTAATTGTTGGATGATGTGTAATTTGAAACTGCTGGAATGGAAGAGTTATGCCCCTTTGCAATAAAGATTTTATTTGACAATTTTCTTTGACAGTAAAAGTACTAATTCTTCTCAATGTTAGTGCAAGCTTTTTTTTTTTTTAGGAGGGACATATAAACTTTGGCCGAGTAATAATAACTTAAGCTGAGTATTGAAAGGGGTTGTCGCTGACAAATGCCTTTGTTATTGCATTAATACAAGTTACATATACACAACTTAGATAAACTAATCTTAGGGGATGCTCGATTGTCAACCAGGAATATCCCGAATTGTTAGAATTACAATCGAGTGATGCGGAATTCAGTCCTGTCATAGTTCTTTTAGCCAACAGAGGTGGTGTGAGTATCACTGTGACCTAATTAACCCTAATGAATATATTTTAGCTGTTGTGGTAGGTTGAGATATTTTCTTAAGCAGTCAACACATGCGTTGTCGTCTGAAATCCCCCTTTTCAAAATTGTCAGTATTTTGGGGATTTAGAGAATTCAATTCCAGGAACATTCAATCGAATATCCCCCTTAAAATATATGTATAGAATATCAAAGGCTGTCGTTTGTTTTTAAAAGTTTTATTGTGATTTACTTGAGTAAATGTCTTCATAATAAAAGTACTTGATTAAAAATAATTTGGCAGCTTATGAATTGAATAACTGAGAAATAATAGTATGTTATATATTTAATGATGTAGTTGTGTTTCTGTAGTCGTGTAGATGTGGTTGCATTCCTACCATTATTATGTCTTTAAGTTAAAGGAGAATAATACCTGTTTCAGTTCTTTTATATTTGGTATTAAATAGTTCGTTGTTTGTTCAATTATCAGTTGTTTGTTCAATTATCGCAAAACCCCAATTCGTCAGACCGACTTAATACAAATTTTGGTTATAAAAATGCCTATTGTGGTGTTTTTGAAGTTAGTATACTTTAGGAAAAAAATTAGAAAAAAACTGATTTAGATGCAGTTCCCCTTTAACTGTATCGAAAAAAGATTCAAGTCATTTTTAACTTGTGCAGTCTTGAATAGAAATAAGTTGGGGGGGGGGGGCAGAAAAATTAGAATTGTATTGAAAAGATGGATCATTATGGGAAGTAACTCTGATGAATTTAACCTACATGCGCCCAACCACAAAATTGAATTATGAGAAATACAGAAAGTTGTAAAAGCTTTTAACATTTGTTTTAACAACATATCATTGATTCATATCATGGTCTATCTCGATTTTCATCAACTTGCATGCATTTAACCTTCCAATTGATTCATATTTTCATGTTTATCTTTTTAAACAATTCATAACGAGAATGCCTGAAGAAGAAAAATTAAGTGAAAGCTTTGAACTTATTATGCATTTAATTAAGCATTAATATTATTATTATTTGTTTTCATTCTTGTTATTTGAAAATTCATATATTTTGACTTTTACTGATTATATTGTTAAAAAATTCAATCCTTTTAGTAATTTTCATCTTAAAATGAAAAGAAATGTACCCTTATTAATAACATTCCAATAAGAAATGTTTGCAGTGATGATTATAGAGACGTCAGTGACATAGGAGGGGTACTCTTTTGTCAGTCATGAACTACAAACAAGTGACACAGGTTAATCTATTTTGGTTGATAAAAATCTTGCCCCCTTTCAACATGCCACTGGAACCAGATTGTAGTTTAAAGAAATGCAGCGAATTCTTTGCATTATCAGTCTTTGAAAAATAAAATATATTGTTCCAATATCAAATTTTTATATAGGTATTATTCTGTTTTAATATAAGCGGGTGGGATATAGTATTTTGAATATGGTAAAAGCTGATGAGTTTACAAGAGTGGGTTTGATATGGTTTATTTTTTCTTGAGGGTTAAGTTGAGATATTCATTTTGGTATGTATTAACTTTAAATGGAATAAGGGTTAAAAGATTTTTAGTGCATAAAAATGTCACATATGGATGGATATATATGTACATAATACAGCACTTCAAATAAAAACAAAGATGTGTATTGGGTTATAAAACTATCAAATACTTGTATGTAATACATAACATTGTTACCAGTATTCAAATAGAAACATGTATAGTTTTTTTTGTGCCATCATGTTATAAAACTATTAAATACTTGTATGTAATATATAACATTGTTACCGGTATTGAAATGAACACAGGCACACCTCAAATAGAAAAAAAGAAGATATGTAATGGTTTTTTTGTACCATCAATGTTATAACACTATTAAATACTTGTATGTAATATATACCATTGTTATCAGTATTGAAATGATCGTATGCATGGCTCTCAGGTTAGGTTAGTACTTGCAATATTTTGGCTAAAACTTAATAGTTTAAATGCTGTGAAGTTAGAATTAATGGAAATGTGTGCATTTGCATTGCCCGGGGGCAAATAAGAATGGCATCCCATAACCCTTGAACTGTGGTTACCTCCTGGGCACCTTGCACCACTAGTCATTATGGATAAACTTTATTATTGATTCACAATATGCAGGAAGACATAAGTGCTCCAAATGGAACTTTTTATGATCTGGAGCCATTAGCATTAATAAAGTGCAGGCAATAATTTCTTTCTTTACCTAAGTGTTGTAATGTCATTTTCTGTCTTAGTAGATTTTGTTTAAATAGGGCATCACTATTATTTTATCTTTGTGAAAGAAAAAAGTAAAATTTGCAACACAGATAATGTTTAATGAGGTTATTATAGTGAGAAAATTAAATTTAAATCCACCAGTTAATACTATAGCAAAATAATAAAATTGTTGGCATATAAACATAAAAGCACATTAACATAATTATAGTAAATGTAATTACTCAACTTGAAACCTTATTAAAATAAGATATTTCTTTAGGTATGGTCTTTCTTCAGACGGTATGGGGATGTCATTGCTAACCTTGTGGGTCCTCTTGTTTCCTCACACTGCTATAACCCCCAACACACAAGCAAATAATTGAAATAAAATTATACCACGTTAATCTCAAAATGACCCGGTTTGTGTCAAGTGTACGTTAAATTGGGTGTGATTATTTTCAACCTCCCTAACCGGCCTGAAAAAAGACTTTCCCATATCCTTTCCACTTGTAACCAGAAAGAGTTATGACCAGACTGACTTGTATCCCGTAATCAGGATTACTTATTTGTTTCATTCTCATTGGGTTACAAGCTAGTGTCGATCTTCACATATTATTAACCACACCTTGTATATGTTATAATTAAGATCTTTTTAAATGTTATTATATTGTTATTTATAGTTCGTTAGTTTAAAACAATGTAATTAATTTTCACAGCGATCATGTTATTTTTATCAACACAATCTTAACATAATATACCTGATGCCAAATTAAACCTAGCTGGCCTTAAATATAAATATAATACAACAGAGGCCTTACCTTAATTAGACTTAAACATAAATGTTAAAATCCTTTCAAGTCGCTGTTATTTTAAATCTTATTTTCTTCAAAACTAAAATACAGGACAATCTACATGTAAATGAGTATTTATTTCACAAATTTTGATTCAAAATATACCTCTTGTGGCTGGGTTCGAACTATCTTCAGTTTCTTTTGAAACTAGTCGGTTTACTTTTCGGCTACTATGGAAGAGACCCCTATGCGCAAGTGAATTATTGAAATGAAATTGTACCATATGTTGGTCCTTAAATGACCTAGATTGTGTTGAAAGGATGTTAAAACCCCATTTCCTACCACATTAAACTGACCTGATGATAGACTTGCCCATTTTGAAATGCTTCAAAATTTAAGATGGCAACGGCAAGAAATTTATAGGATTTTATAGCTTGTGATTAAGGCAATCGAGGCCCCTCTGTCTTCTATGCTGTTAGCTGTGGCTTTTAGTTTTAATTAAATTTTTAAAAAATAATTGTATGGTTAATTAAATATGATTTTCTTTGATTGTTTCAACGATGTTATATGATATATAGACTGAATGGTCTGTAGAATTGTATTTTCATGGTTTTTTTTTATGATTATTTCTCCGGACATAATTGTTATATAGTGTGAATTGGATTTTCTATTGTTTGTCTGTTGAATAAATGTAATTTTAAAGTTTATACAAGTCTTAGAGTTTTAAAATCGGGAAGATTTAAGTGATTGAGGTCCTGGGTTTGATCCCAGAGTTTGCGGAGAAAATTACTCAGGATTTTCTTGTCCCTGGACAATTCATCCCCTAGGTTTATTTGTCCCCTAATTATGATCAACAGCTAATTCTAAAGAAATTTAAGAAGATGAAACTAACTGATGTTCGGTCTACATTGTTTTATCATGCACAATAATGCATATTGATTTTAAGTCAAGTGCAGTATTGTCAATGGACAATACCCATAGTGAAGGGATAAATGGATTCTCTAACTCACAAAAGGTGTCACTGATCATAGCTGATTACTACATGCATATCAATTAGCCCGAAAATACTTCAGGAACCATTAAGGCCTAGATTTAATACTAAATGTAAAACGATGTAAAACTAGATTAAAACTGAGATGTAGGATAAAAAGTAAAGATTCAGTTTTTGATTCAGTATGTTGCATTCCGGTCATTTTTTTTTTACACCTATGGATACTACGTGCTTAGCACTTCAAAACCATCCAAAGAAATTCTACTTGCGACCATGAAAGAAAAAGTTACAGTGTATCTTTTTCTGCACTATACGGACAATGTGAATATGGTACCCTAAAACAAGTCCACAAAAAATTAGTATGTACTGATTTTTTTTTTCAAATTAGTGCTGGGGTAGAAGTTGACCACCCACTTTATCAGACAGGGTCAAAATTAGAAGGTTGCTATTCCACCATAGAATGCAGTCTGTGCTTAAAAAGGGTGATAAATACACATGTGAAAACCGCAATTTTACCCATAAAATGAATAATTCCTGTACAGTCCTTTAGAGCGACATCAGACTGTAATCACTTCAGCATGTTACCTCTTGCCCCTAGGTGGTGTCATACCATAAGTTTGATCAAAAACTTTCGACCCCCCCCCCCCATCTTAGCACTTTTTGCATGGTCTTCTCGCGGATACACTCTTAAAGTCAATGGGAATATCAAATGCCTGAGTTTGTGGTGAATGGAAGTGATACGTTATACAGATTTATTATGTATGCGCCATTATAGTTAATTATATATGTTACAAGTCCCTGTAGGTTACAGGTCCCTTCGTTCATTGTTAGTTCTCGTGATACGAGACATCCGGGTTATCTATTATGTTATTGTAATGGTGGCACGTCAATTAAAGTTATCAACAGTTGTCGCTGTCTGTGTTTGTCCCTGTAGTACTCCCCACTAAACTGTCGTGGTGGCTGATTGTGGATTTATTCCTTACGTCTCCGTGAACTGCAGGACTCGGCAAACAAGAAATATCATTCAACAGGCAGGTTACAGTGTACTGTAAATAGATTTCTGTTGGCTCGCGTAGAAGCGCGCCATATAATTTTTATTTTTAAGACGAACCCCCATCAATTTATCAATCAATGGCTTCAACTCGCGCCCCAAAGCAGCGTGTTTTGACAAAAGATGAAACTATCACCTCGTTCGAGGCCTGGAAACAGAACCTTACATACATTTTATCTCTAGATGACAACTTCGCCCCATTCTTCGCTCCCGATATTGTATGGTCTAAGAAAAGCAGGGATAACCCAAATCGAGGCTTTACCGACGAACGTGGGAAGACTGCAGCACAAAAGGTGGTTTTTTTAGAGCTCATGTTGGGTCAAATCGCCAATTTTTGCCCGGTGATAGCCCGCAACACCATTATTCACAAGTCTGTGAGTATAAGCTCTGTTTGGCAATCAATCCGTGCTCACTATGGATTTCAGAATAGTGGGGCACAGTTCCTTGACATCTGTGATATGAAACTAGAAATGGATGAAAAACCAGAAGACTTATTTCAGAGGCTGATCGCCTTCGTTGATGACAATCTATTAACTGTCGGATGCGGTCTTACACACTATGGAACTCAAGTTACCGAGGAGGAAATGTCTCCATCCTTAGAAAATCTGATAACAGTATTATGGCTTCGTTTAATCCACCCCGGTTTGCCCAAGCTCGTTAAGCAACGGTATGGAATCCAATTACGTACATGTACTATCGCGTCACTTAAACCAGAGATATCAATGGCCTTGTCATCCCTTTTAGAAGAGGTGGAAACTGCTGAAGAGGTTCGTTGCATGCGTATGGGTTCCCGACCACCGTTTCGCCCAGACTCCAGACTGCATAACCCCCCGCCAAGGCCCAGGCCACAAACCTTAAAGCCACAACGTGTTACAAAAAGATCGCCTGCAATGTGTCCTCTATGCTTACAATCCAACCGAGGTTCCACTGACCATTACCTCAGTCTATGTCCATATTTGCCCGAGAGCGACAGAAAGTTTATGTCACGAGCCAGGCAGGTTATCGTCGATTCTGACGATGATGAGAACACTGATATCATTTCAGATGCCAATAATGCTGATTCGCCAACTTTGTCGGTTTCATCACGAAGAGTCCAAGTCGATCAGTCTCCCTATCTTGATGCATTCTACGACCACCATGCCATCCGCATAACCGTCGACTCTGGTTCCGAAACGAATATGATAAGTCATCCTCTCGCTCTCCAGTTGGGCATTCCTGTTACTAAAAGTACACAATACGCTACTCAGGCTGATGGCCGAACATTGTTAAACGTTGTCGGAGAAACTCGCTTTGAGTTGACAAGAGACGATCATATCTTATCATTCACCGCATTAGTCGTGTCCTCTATGGATGTGGAACTACTTGGAGGAACCCCTTTCATGTCTGTCAACGATGTAGCCGTGCGACCTTCCAAGCAACACGTACTTATTGGTGGCCATATTTATCCATACGGTTCCTCTTCTCCAAAGTCAAGTCCATCGGTACGACGCACTCAAGCTTCTGTTTTAAGATCGAATACTGCTACCACTATTTGGCCTGGTAAATTCATAGAAGTAGATGTCCCAGCTGAACTCGACAACATCGACACAGTGGCCGTAGAACCCCGGCTAGATCTCTCCCCCCATCAGACCGAAGCATTATGGCCTGCTCCGTCCGTCTTACGACCGATAGGCGGAAAGTTACGTATACCTAACTCTACTGATTTACCAATCATCGTTCGCAGAAACAGCCACTTTTCTCAGGTGCTACCTGTGTATAACCCCCTGGTATCACCGAATTCAGCCAATGACATACACACACTGACCACATCCATGCCCAATCCGCCCTCATCTGCTGTTACGCTTGATCCGGATGAAATACTGTCACCTCTTGTTCACAAGCAGTTTCGCACCCTACTACGACAATACGACTCTGTTTTCAGCACAACACCCAAGGGCTATAACGGTGCATTTGGTCACTTCACCGCAAAAGTCAATATGGGTCCAGTCCTTCCACCCCAACGAAAAGGGCGTGTCCCCCAGTATGCTAAAGATAAGCTAGATGAACTACAATCCAAATTTGATGAGCTTGAGAGCATCGGAGTCTTCCGGAAACCCGAGGACCTGGATATGGTAGTCGAATACTTAAATCCGTCATTTTTGATCAAAAAGCCCAATGGTACATACAGACTGGTGACTGCGTTTGGCGAAGTCGGCAAGTATGCTAAACCACAACCATCCCTGATGCCAGATATCGATTCAACCTTACGGTCAATTGCCAGTTGGACTTACATAATTGCTACAGACTTGTCAAATGCCTTTTACCAAATTCCCTTATCCGCGGATTCTATGAAGTTTTGCGGCGTCGCTACCCCATTTAAGGGTATCCGGGTATATACTAGGTGTGCCATGGGTATGCCGGGCTCAGAGACAGCGTTAGAAGAGTTAATGTGCCGTGTGCTGGGAGATTTGATACAACAGGGATTTGTCGCCAAAATTGCCGATGATTTGTACTGTGGGGGGAATACTCCTGAAGAACTCCTAAAGAACTGGCAGGCTGTTCTCAATGCCTTACACACAGCCTCTCTCAACTTAAAGGCCTCTAAAACAATCATCGCACCGAGAAAAACTACCATTCTTGGATGGACCTGGTGTCAGGGATCTTTAACTGCAAACCCTCACAGAATCGCCACCCTATCGACGTGTGCAATCCCTAAGACTATTAAAGACTTGCGAGCCTTTATAGGTGCATACAAGTTCCTCTCACGTGTACTTCCGCAGTGTGCTAAATATTTGAGTCCACTCGATAGCCTAGTGGGAGGAGGAGCTCAGTCTAAAGATATAATCGTCTGGACGGATGACACGACTGCTTCATTCCACCTGGCACAGGCATATTTAAAAGATGCGAAGTCTATCACTTTACCAAGACCCAACGATCAGTTATGGATAGTCACAGATGGGGCAGTCAGAAGCTTTGGATTGGCCTCCACATTATACCTTATTAGAAACGACAAACTACAATTAGCTGGTTTCTACAGCGCGAAGCTCCCTGAACGAAAACATGGATGGAGTCCCTGTGAGATCGAAGCTTTATCTATTGCGGCATCCATCAAACACTTTGCTCCTTATATCATTCAGTCTGGTCACGTAGCTCAAATTCTTACCGACAGTAAGCCTTGTGTTGAGGCTTATTCCAAGTTACAAAGGGGTGAATACTCTACTAGTCCAAGAGTGACCACATTTCTATCCATTGCCAGTCGATATCAAGTTTTCATTCGCCACCTAGCCGGCAAGGTCAACATTCCGTCAGATTTTGGAAGTCGAAATGCTCCAGATTGTGAAGATATGAGTTGTCAAGTGTGCTCATTCATATCGGTTACCATGGACTCTGTTGTTCGTGCCGTGTCTGTGAAAGATATTATGAATGGATCGGTCAGGCTGCCATTTGTTAATCGCTCCATGTGGCGCCAGGCTCAGCAAGATTGTAAGGACCTGCGTCGAGTGCATGCCCACCTTGCACAGGGCACTCGACCATCAAAGAAATCTACCAATATTCATGACGTCAAACGGTACCTCAATACCGTCTCCATCGCATTAGACGGAACCCTAGTCGTTCAAAAGTCTGACCCTTTAGCTGTGACTCGAGACTTAATCGTCATCCCAAGGGACCTGATACTAGGTCTACTCACTGC